TACATTTTAAACACACCACCAAAACCCTCACAAAACTCGCCTGGTTCTAGACTTCCTTACTTCATATTCTTTCGAAGGCTTTTGTAGGAAAGATCCTCCTTCCCTGTCGATTCGATCCCTAAGTACTACAATCAATCAGCTGTGCACTTGCGGCTATTGATTTTATTTAGGGTAAAACTTGACACCCTCACGACACACCACATCATACGCTGAGGGTGAAAAAGACGCGTCAAAGAGCAGTCTAGCAGCAGGCAGAAAACGCCAAGGAAAATAGGTGAGACCGACAGAGGCATGACGCATGCATAAGATTTAGATCCAGCCAAGTTGGATCGCAAACCAACCCGCCCGACTTGTAGCCCAAGGACCGACTTGGTATACTAATCTAGGTCTGGTAAAACTCTATAAATACTTTGTTCTGTCCAACAAAGAAGGGGATCACTCTTTTCGCTACCTTAAGGCTCATGTTATCTTCCTAGATACTCGTGCTCCTTCAGCTATATCACTTCACACTTTCTGGTCATTATTCTGACCATCTCTTTACTTCCTCTCTACGGCGGTTCCAAAACCGTGGAGAATTTTCGCTCCAAAACTCTTACACTTCTTCTCTTTTTACTTCAAAAGGCCCATCAACATTCAAAGCCCCGAGTAGAATCCACTTTTCTCTAGAGCCCTCGGCCCACTTTCCTTCACCCATTTTCCGATTTTCCTCTTTCCAACCACGTTGTGGTCTTTTCTTTACTATTTTCTGACTTGCGTCGGAGATTCATCGGAAAACATCATTCCATCGTGTTTTTTTAGACTTTCACGCGTTTGTTAAATTTTGCATGAGACTTGCCCTCAAGAGGACTGAAAATCACCTAAACACAACACATAGTAAAATTAAAATTCAATATATAAAGTTCAAGTAACAGTTTTTTTTATTTTGTCAACAGCCTAGATGTCTAGAACGGTTGGATTATCCAAACCGGATATGTAGAATTTACATAAATGACATCTTGTGGGTGGGCTCAAGCGCTCTTTGCTAGAATATCCGCTTTCAAATTCTTCGCACGTGGGATGTGTTTTATAGTGAAGGGATTGAATTTGTCTTTCATCTTCACGATCTCCTCCAAATGTAAAGCAAATGCTGGCCATTCTTCGGGTGCAGACACCATCTTCACCAACTCCAAACAGTCTGTTGCAAATTTTACAGCCACCTTATGCATTCTTATCATACAGTGCACAGCCCATATAAGGGCTTCTACCTCCGCATGCAGAGGTGAAAGGCTTCGTCTTACATTCTGTGCTCCCATTATCTTGTCCCTAACTCCGTCTTTGAAATAGTATCATCCTAATCCCGATTTAGAATCCGTATCTTTCCATGAACCATCAATATAACACCACCAGCCATCATAACTCAGCAATGATGAGTAGATCATTGAGTTTCCATTATTTATGGATTTCTTCTGCTGTTTAGATATTTGGGCCTCTTCCCATAATGCTGCTTCTGTTTCTGCTATTCTCAAGGTAACTTGAGGGTCTGTATCAATATTTGAGTATACCTTTTCATTCCTTGCCTTCCAGATATACCATAAAATCCATGGGAATTGTGTATTTGTTGTCTCTTTTGGTAACCTCCAGAATAGGTGATCAAAATTAGCATAAACCGATGTCATTGGAAATACGCCTAGGGGTGTTGGGATCTTTGATAAGGCCCATATTTGTAAGGCAGGGGGACATTCAAATAAAACATGGTTGATTGTTTCGTCCTCTGTTCCACAACGTGCACATTGTGTGTCGCAGTTTATTCCCCGGGTTATAAGTCGAGTTGGCACCGAAAGGCATCCCGATAAAGCTTGCCAAATAAAGTGCTTTATCTTTGGTGAAGTTTCCAATTTCCAAGTATATGATAGCAGTACCTTGATGTTTGGCCCATGTTGGTCTTCAATTCTATCGTCTGATAGCCGGACCACCGTTTGGTATCCTGATTTTACCGTATATCTTCCAGATTTTGTGAAATGCCACCCCACTGTGTCTTGTCAATATGAATTACTTATGGGTATCCCACGAATGAGTTCCACATCTTTTGGATCTATAATTGCCTTTATAAGACCCAGATTCCATGAGTTCGTCACTGGGTCAATCAGATGATTGACCATGAGATTTGGGTAATAATTAAAGCCCTTACAAGTTGCTGATCTCGGGCGAGGATCTGGTATCCATGGGTCATTCCATACTGAAATAGAACATCCAGAACCAACTCTTTTGATTAGCCATTTATTAACCAGAGATCTAGCTGAGATTATACTTCGCCATCCATAGGATGGTGAGTAAGAACGAACAGGGTCTAGCGGACTTGATTTCCTAAAATATGTCCTTTAAAAACTCGTGCAAACAGTGAATTCAGTCTATCTATCAATCTCCATAATTGTTTTGCCAATAATGCCGTATTAAAGCTCTCAACCTCTCGGAACCCCATTCCCCCTTCTGTCTTGTCTTGACACATCTTATTCCACGCTATCCAATGTAAGCCTTTGTGATGTCCATCTGAGCTGCACCAATACCGTCCTGCTGCACTAGATAGTTTCGCCATTGTTGATTTAGGTAAACGGAAGCATGACATGGCGAAAGTAGGCATTGCTGAGGCGACCGATTTAATTAGAACCTCTTTGCCTCCTTTAGACAATAGTCTCGAGGTCCAACTATTAATCTTATTCTGTTGGTTGTCTGTTACGAAGTTAAAAATCCTGGTTTTAGCTCCACCCATGCCCTCTGGGATGCCCAGGTAGGAACCTGATCCCCCGTCTCTTGAGATACCCAAGATATGTTTCATCTCCTGTCGTATTACCTCTGGGACCTTGTGTCCAAATTGGACCAATGATTTATCAAAATTGATGCGCTGGCCTGACACGCCTTCATACTGCCTTAATATGCTCAAGATCTTCTGGCATTCCTCTTTGTTTGCTTTGCAAAAGAACAAACTGTCATCCGCAAAAATCAAGTGCGAAATTGATGGACTTGCTGTTGCGACCCTCAAGCCTGTCAATAGTTTATCGCTTTCTGCTTTCTGTATATTCGCTATAAAAACCTCCGTACACAGTATAATTAAGTATGGTGACAAGGGGTCTCCTTGACGAAGTCCCCTTGCAGGATTTATTTGTCCTCGTGGCTGTCCGTTTAGTAGGACTTTGTAATTTACTGAAGTAATACACCGCATCATCCATGTTATCCATATCTCTGCAAACCCAAATCGTCGTAGTAATTTTTCGATAAAAGACCACTCGACCCTGTCATAAGCTTTACTCATGTCCGTCTTGATTGCCATATATTTACTCTTACAAGATTGATTTGTCCGTAGTCCATGAAACATTTCCTGTGCGATCAGAATATTATCTGAGATCAACCGGCCCGCCACAAAGGCGGACTGTGTTTCCGAGATGAGGTCAGGAAGCAACCTTTTCAATCTCTGGCATAGTACTTTAGAGATAATCTTATAGCCGACATTGCATAGGCTGATAGGCCGTAGTTCCGTCATCCTCGTGGGTCTTTCTGTTTTTGGGATTAGACAAATATTAGTCATATTCAGCCTTTCATCAAAAACCCCCGTATTCAAAAAACCTTTAACTAAGTTTAGGATATCTTCCTTAATAATTGGCCATGATCGTTGGTAAAAGAGTGCTGTCATTCCGTCTGGTCCTGGAGACTTCTCTGGATTCATCATAAATAAAGCATCATGGATTTCCTCCTCCGTGACCATTGCCGTAAGCATTTCATTATGCGCCTCCGGTATCGATGGTGGTATCTCACTTAAAGCATCCTCAAGGCCTGATGGTGATGTTGAGGTAAATAAATCGTTAAAATAATTAACTGCCACCTGCTCTATGTCTTTGTTTGAGGTAACCCATTTTCCGGCATCATCGTGTAATCCAATAATTCGATTTCTCGCTCTCCGTTTTTTAACTTGTGCGTGATAAAAGGAAGTATTTTTATCCCCCATCGTTGCCCATTGGATTCTACTCTTTTGTTGCCAGTATAATTCCTCGTCTCTATATGCTTCTTTTAGTTTTTTTGAGACCGCTAGTACTTCCTCTTCTGTCTTTGTAACATCGTTTTGGATTTCTTCTAATGCCCTCTTCAAGTCATTAATTTTTTCTCGCCCATATGGTTGAAGGTTAAACCTCCACTTGGAGATTTCTTTCCGGCAATTCCTAATTTTACCCACAAATAGAGTCTCCTCCCTTCCTTGATTTAGATCCCAACCTTTTGATATAGCATCCATTAGACCCTCTTGATCTATCCATCTTTTGTCAAACCTAAAATGTGCCCTCTTGCGTGGATTTTTATCTGCTATTGTGGCCACAATTGGCCTATGATCGGAGCCAATCATCGCTAAATATTCAACGAATGAATGTGTAAAAATATCATGAAAATTTTCATTAGCTAGAGTCTGATCTAGTCTGCATCTGACTAGTTGTGAGTTCCTCCTTCCCCTCCAAGACATCGTATTCCCTAAGCACGGGAACTCTAATAGCCCACAATCTCGTATCATAGTGTTGAAAGCCACAAAGGAGGAAGCATTTCTTAGTTTCCCACCTTGTTTTTCGTTATTCCCAGTTATCTCATTAAAATCTCCGATTAATATCCAAGGTTCTGTTCTTGTAAGCCTTATTCTTGTTAATCGCTCCCAAACTTATTCCCGGAATTTAGGAATTGGATCTCCGTAAATAAAAGACAAGAATACTTTTTTCCCAAGAACTTTTGCTTCAATATCAATTATTCTATTGCTTGAGAATAAAATAGAAACCTCAAAAGAATTATCATAAAAAAGAGCAAGTCCACCACTAGCCCCGCACGGTTCAACCGTGTACAATTTATTATAACCAAAATGATACTGAAATTTCTCCAAAAAATTAAAATCTTGCTTTGTTTCTGAAAGAAATAAAAATTCTGGTTTGTGCTTCTTCCAAATTTCCCGAAGATAGCTTATTGTCCACCGACTCCCAAGACCTTGACAATTCCAGCTAAGTATCCTCATCAATCACTCGAGATTTGGTGCCTTTCTGTCCCAGCTTCGGGTTTGATGGACCCTTGACAGATTGTCTTTTGCGTGGAGAGATCAATGCTTGAACCATCCTCTTCTTGGTGTTCCCTCCAATTATTGTGGTGTTACTTTTTGCAACCTTCTTCTTCGTACCTTGCTTGTTACCTTCGTTTTCTCCTGTCAAGACCATTTGTGTCTCCATATTTTCATCTTTTTCTTTTGTACCTATTTCACCGATGGCGGTTTCCTCCACTTCCGTGTTACTTTCCTCTCCAGTTGTGAGCAGCTCACCATCTTCCTGCTCTAAGAGCTCTTTCACCGCCTCTGAGGTAAGTTGCATCTGATGTTCCTGCTCGATAGTATTATCTTCAAAGTTTCCTGCAACAGCACCATCAATCTCAAAATCCATTAAAGTATCATCGTTTGCTAGCAGCTTTTCCCAGTCATGGACCGATTCTTCATTGGCTTCTAACCCTTGCCCATTTTCTGCTGCATCCATCAGAACCTTGCCCGCCTCTGAATCTGCACTCTGATTCGCATTGTTAGCAACTTCACCATTCTCAAAATCCAAGTTTTTCCTTACCTTACTACCCAATTTTGGATCCTCATTCATTCCCACTAGTGTAGCCTCTGCATCTTCAGTGACAGAATTCCCCTTTGTAGCGATAGTTAGATTTGTACCGCCTCTTTTGTATCCATCATCTTTACATTAGTAACCTTCCGATCATGTGTTGTTACATGTTCCTCACTTTCCTTCCGTTTTATCTCCATATACCGTGATTGGAGCTCATGAGGATGCACATAGCTTACAGGTCTGCTCTGCTTCAGAGCTCCTTCGCCATATTTCCATTCTCCCTTACCCCTGAGATAGCGACCCTCTTCATATCCTTCCCTGTTCTCGTGCCCATGTTTTTTATTTTTGTAATACCCATTGCTTGAGGAGCTTGATCCTCCATACTTTACTGGTTCTTTAAAACTTCCATGAGCAACTGCATTTTTGTAGGAGATTGCTCCTTTCCCATTTTTTGGATCCTCCGGTAGCTCCTCCTTTCTGTTCCGATCAGTATCAACTTGCCGAGATGGACACTTTTGTTGCTCATGACAGAGACTGTAACAGGTGCGACAGTAACCAAAGAGCCTTTCATACCGTAGATACACTGTTGTTTCTTCTCCTCCATGGAATTCCACACTCGTTTCAAAACAGAGAGGCTTAAGCCCATCTATGATTACTTGAACCTTGCCCTCATCGAGATTCACCGCTTCGACCTTCCCCAAAGCCTTCCTGATACTTCGAAAGGTTGGATCAGCCCAGAAGTGGAGTGGTACTCCAATGACACAAACCCAGAAAGTGATCGCAGATGGATATGATGGATCCACCACCGGTGCCCATCTCACTAAGGAGATCATCCAGTAGTCAAAGTGAAATGGCTCCATCTTCAGCACTTCTGTAATATCTTCTTCCCGATCAAACATAAACTGGAACCTTCCGAGTCCCAAATCTGCTCCAACAACTCTCTCTCTTCAACTTTCCAGATCCTTGGAAGCATGTAAAGAAGTGCCTTCATATCCTGCAGCTGAGGATTCATGCATCTCCCTATCAAGGTTTTGGAGTAGCCCGCGATCAAGTTTGAGTTATCAAAATGTGGCACCGAAACTCTCAACCTCTTTTGTGAAACCTCAATTTTTTTTCCGGATGCATTTCCCGTAATCAAATTACTTTGGGACATCGTGGTGGGTTGTGGTGGTGAGGAAAAGGTTTGGGGACAGATGTGAGAAGATATAGAAGAACAGGTGAGATGGTGCTTAACGCCTTTTGCTCTCTTCTTTATAAAGACCGTGAACGATGGGTTTCTTCCAATCCTTGAAAAATGATACCCTTGATTGAGGATCTGATTGGCAAAATGGATTTTCCTTGATTTTTTCCTTAGTCCCAACTCGCCTATATCTCTGATGAAATCCCCTCAGGTCCATGTTCCCGTCTAGATTAACAGCCATCGAGTCAAATGGTTTTTGAAGACCAGTGATCCGTATACTCCATCGAAGGAAACGAGATCCTTTTGCTCCCTGTCGATTTGATTGAGCCGCATTCTCAGATTCGGATTTTGATCCTCTCTTTCCATCATACCTTAGTTTTCCGATAATTTTGATAATGATAATATTTATCAAAAGCCCCAGAATCTTAGCAATCCCGTACAACTTCCATTGTTGTGCTGTTACCATTAATGGACCGATCTCCTCCGTTCGAACCGCAATAATCCCTTGGAGCCACCGATCTAGAATCTCCATTTAGGACCTAAGATTCGTAAATCTCATCGCCATTAAGTAACAGTTTTAAGGAAAAAAAATAATCAAAATTCTTAAGGTTATATATGATACAGATACATATATATATATATATATATGGTAATTTTTTATTTTAAATTTTCAAAAAAAAAAAAAACCTTCACCAATTACTTTATAAATGATCACAGATAATTGAAAAAAAAATAATAATAATAAAAAATATCTATGTAAGAAATATTAGACATGGCACAGCCAAATCATTTTACATTGACCTTAAAATTTCCAATATCATTACACGAAAAGAAAAGAGATAGCAGTTTTTGTAAAGAAAAATATTTGTTCAGTGATTCTATTTTTAAGAAGGATAACAGCTTTAATTATATATTTTTATAGTTTTTTTTGTAAAAAAAAAAACATATGGTCAGTGATTCTATATTTCGAAAAAGGATAACAACTTTAATTATTGATCTAAAAATATCAAAGATAATGGAAATTAATAAAACCAAAAAAAGAATATTTTGTAAGAAGCATCATACAACTTGTTGATGCCAAAACTTTGTAGTTGGACATCGAAATTGTCAAGGGTTTAATGCAGAAAAAAAAATTATAACCTTTTTTTTTGCAAAAATGAACTTCATCTCCAGAAAATGCAACTCAATCTTGTAACCTCAAAAGTAACCCGCAAAACAGTCCTTCTTTATATCGATAACGTGGCATAAAAAACATCTGTGAAAAAACTCAGAGAAACCAAAGATTATGTTAATACTTAGATTACCTTTTAGAAAATAATACCTTCTATAGGCACTTTTGAGTTTGGTGGACTTTTTGACACTGTTTGGTACTGATTGAAGTGTGGAATTCAAAAAAAAACCCCTGTAGTAAACTTGTCTAGATTTATGAATTTTAACATTTACGTTCAGTTAAAAACCTAAATCATATTATTATTTGTGAAGTAACTTGCGCTGTGGTTCAATGCACAGTTTAGGTTGTCGTTTTGATTAATGAATTTTGAGCTTTCTGATTGATCGGTGTTTGTTATAATTTGATTGGTTTAATTTGATAGATTTTAACGATTTTTGGTAATTTTTAATTTATTGAGATCGTTAATGGATTTGTATTGGATCTTGATATAGGCGGCCCAAAGTTTTTTTGTCGTTTTGATTAATGAATTTTGAGTTTTCTGACTGGTCAGTGTTTGTTATAATTTGATTGGTTTAAATTGATTGATTTTAAGATTTTTGGTTATTTTTAATTTTTACAAAAATTTTTATTGAAATCGTTAATGGATTTGCATTGAATCTGAATATAGGCGGTCCAAAGTTTTATTTGAAAATCCGAGTACAAACCATTATAAGTGAAACAGCTTCGTAATCAACGAAAAAAATATTCTGGCGCAATTGGTTAGGAGATCTTTCCTGTTATACGTATATCGCGGGTTCGAACTCTTTGTCGTGTGAATTTTTATATAATCTTTTTTATTTTTATATAATTTTATCGGATTCAACTTTTAATAATTAAAATTGAGAATATTCCTTATTTATTCAATATTTTTTTTATATATTTGGTCCGTTTTAATCTGAAAAAGATGTTTTTTTTATCGTAAAATGGCAAATTGTTTGTTTATGTCAATATAAAATCTTTTCTACCTTTATCGGTTGGTTTTATTAATAAAAAATCTTAATTTTGATTTTATAGAAATATTCGCATGGAAGGTTGTATTTATCGTAAAATGGTAACATTGTTTGTTTATATCAATATGAGATCCTTTCTACCTTTATCGATTTATTTTATTAATAAAAAATGTTAATTTTGATCTTATATAAATATTCTCATGGAGGGTTGTATTTATCTGTATCACTCTTATATAAATATTCTCATGGAGGGTTGTATTTATCCGTATCACTCAATAATATACATATTCGTCTAAATTCTAGGTTATTCCTGTGTATAAATTGGTTTGTGAGCTTTGTACGTTTTGTCATCAAAATTTCTAGGGTTTTGAAGCTCTTCATGATGTTTGTTCACTTGCATTCAATCCTAACAATGTGTTCTTATGACTATAGCTTTGCTCATCCATCTAAAGTTATGATTTCTTGGGAGGCTTCGTCTGCATCAACAGGTATATATGTTTTAAACCCACATGCTCAGTAATGATGTGTATACTCTTTATTATACTAAATGTTTTTTAATACGATAACCAGGTTACGTGAACCCGGATCTTGCTGACGGTTATTCGTCTTCATTTTGATGAAACTTGCGATCTCTTGAGTCCGATTATGGATGAAAACGGAATATCGGGGTTATCGTTACGTAACTCCTTACGTTTTCACCGACATATCTAAAAAGAAAGGTAATTCCTTTGTCTCCATCGTATTTAATTATTCTCATAC